GTGTGTCCGGGTTCGGGCGCGTTACGCTGCAGCCGGGTCAATGGTACATTGATACAAAGGAAGTCGTCTGTGTGATAAGAAAGGAATAAAGAGGAGAGAGAATAGAAAAGAAGGAGAGGGAGGAAGGGAAGGGAGAAAAGGGGAAGAGGGGGGAGGTCGGGAGGAGTGGATGGTGGGGCACCGGGTTAGGTGGGGCCGGGTCAGGCGGGTGTGCCCTGACACGGTTCCTCCGATCCCTCCGGTCTAACTCCGCTCCTCCCTCACTAACCTCGGAGCTCCCATATTCCGCAATCCTCTCAGTACCCCTCGATGGTCACCACCCCCTCATTTCAATTTATTACCTACGCCTCCCTAAGTACGGAGCCCCAAAGACTTCCGGACAGCTCCGACGTCCGCTAGCACACCCCCGCCTCCGCTGGGCAATACACTCGCCTGCCCTGCAGAGCCCACCTTCGGGCCTATCCCTCCTTTCCGTTTCTGGGTTATCGCCTGCCTTTCCGCTAACCCTGCGACCCGACTCGTCGGTAATATTCAGTCAGCTAATGTTTAAACCCCGTTAGCTCCACTCTGTTCGGCTCCGCCAATTGCGGACCCGTCTTCGCTGTAACCATATATATATCCCACTTGTACATAGGTTACACCCCAGTAGTAAAATCAACTAGAGTTACCCCCCCTTCGGTTCTGATTGCCAGTCAGTAAGTTAGGGCACGGACATGTCACTAGGCACAGCGCTCTTGGCAGAAGTCGCTGAGGCCAAAGCCCTCTGCTACGGAGACACTCCCTTGTCTCGAATCTGGTCTCTGACAGTGTGCACACGTGTGGGAAGCACCACGGGTGGATGCGGGTCCGGATGCGGGTCCGGGTCTGGGCTAGTCAGGGTGTGTGCCCTGACAATAACGAATATCAAAGCAAGAACGAGGCCAATCGGGTAAGATTTGACCATGAAACCAACCAGAAAACCTCCACAGAAACTGCTTTCCCACATCCACACATTTAGCTGAGGCCAGAAGTACTGCAGAACAAGGATTCTGTAGGAACCAATGTAAAACTCGATGTTGTGTTTATAATAAGGAATGTAGATGCCTTTTAGATAAACTCAATGAAGGTGATTTCAGGAAAAACTACTGATAGAGGGTGGAGAAATAGCTGAAATTCATGGGAAACAAGGACAATGTTCAAAAGGAAAGTGCAAAGGACAACCAGTAACGACTGAGACGAGTTTGATAGCTCATTGAAAAGGGAGGGATCTACTCTCAATTCACACAAAATTTCATAGCAAAAGGGTCATGCATCATGGAGATATTCATTAATGGGTTCAGCAACATTGAAGTCATAGCTCAGGGAAAAGCCGACGTTCACGCAATATCCATATTGAAAACATATAACGAAATTTACATTGAAAATATAATAAATCAGATACTAGCACTGCGTAAATTTTCAGGCCAATCAGCCCAGCCATTGTGAAGTTATGCCAGTGACAGGAATAGAGTATCCTGCACTATGTCGAAGGACACATGAGGGTGGTGATGTGAAGGGAACCGGCCATCAGAACTGAGATCCACACTTTTGGAGATTGCAAGGACCAATTTCTGCCCAAATATGGAAGACTCTGGTCAAAACAAAGCACAGAGAATGTGAATACACCTTAGAACATCATGGAAAAATCTGAAATAAATCATGAAAGCCTGTATTAAGGTTACAAACACCCATGCATACAATAATCCCAAATAATTAAACACAAATGTCACCTGCATACAAATGAGTATGGGGACAATACACATGATTGCCAACTGTGCATGTGAACTTTTACTAACTTGGTGAATAATGAGAGTTAGAGTACGACCTTAGTATTGTTAGAAAGGTTGGAATAAATGTAAATTTATGGTGCTAAGAACGTGAAAAACCATTCAGAAATGAGTGAGATATATGGAAATGAAGTTGGTAACCTGATGTCAGGGGATGGACCCTGGGTCCCCATGACCCCTCTCTCTACATCCCACAGTCTGACCTGTAACAGCCCATCCTAGGACACAATGCTACTGTGGGTAAGAAAGTGAGAAGAAGGTTAACTTCTCACTTTCCCACAGTGGCCCAATATGGCAAAAACTTCCGGGGATACCCGGAAGTCACATGAAGGATAGGAACCGGGCCCGGAGCATGCGGCCTGTGGAGCGTGCAGGGTGGAAGCATACATGTGGGTCCGGGTCTGGGCTAGTCAGGGTGTGTGCCCTGACACCTGAAGACACATGGGAAGACAACTTCTAGAGGTCTCAAGCCCCAAATAAAATATGGTATCATTGTGGATGACTTAGTATAACAATGAACAATACCTACAGAGGATTAGGATGCAAGAATACAAATGGGTACCTGTCAGGGCACACCTGCCTGACCCGGTTCCACCCGGGCCCACCTGGGCCCACCTCACCCGCTCACCCGCTCACCCGCTCACCCGCTCACCCGCTCCCCGCTACCCATCCTTCCTCCCTCTTCCCCTTCCCCCCTTTCCTCCCTCTTCCCTCTTTCCTCTTTCTCCCTTATTTCACTCTCCCTTTCTGTTTATTCTTTCTATTTACACGGACCACCTTCCCTTGTATCATTGTACTGTTGACCCGTCCGGCTCGGACACCCCGGACGACTTCCCGCTACGCCCAGCATGTGCACCTGCAGCGGACGCCCTCGGGATCCCCCATGGGGATACCCGGATGGCTGCGGCCCTCTCCGTAGATGACGTGGCACCCATCATGTGACCCAAGCCGCATGTACATAAATGTACCTGAAGTGGGAACTGAAGAAGTAACCTTCTTCTCACGTTTTCCACTTCAGGTAAGTAGTGTAGTTCTTCCTTTTAATAACAATTCACGTTTTCCACTTCAGTGGCCAGGGACTACAGTCCCAGATCGGGCCCGTCAGTACGCGCGCCCGCTTCGTCCCCCGAGAGGGTCCCTCCGCCGGGCGCTACAGCCGGGCCCCCTCCACCCCAGACGCGTCCCTGACAGTACCAGGGGAAATGGACAAAAAACAACAAAACTATGACAGACCACAGTGGGAATAATAGGGAAAAATATACTATTAAAGCGGAGAACACTAACACCTTTGTTTGTTCAATTCTTAACTCTTTTTGTTCTAAATTTGAACCATTTCATTCATTTATCATTTCAAGTCCCATTTCAACTAAATGTCACTGAATAAAAATAGAATAAATCAGCTGAAAGTCATAGTGCAGCCATACATGCAGTTGTTAGAAACCACCTCCGCCTAATGCGGGCATTTAGTGTAATGGTAACACACTCAAGGTACCTATGCAGGGCTCTGCGGTTCGACTCCCAGAATGTCCATATTTTATGCATTAAGGTTCCTGAGACCACGTGTACAAATTCCAACAGCAGTAACATGCAGTCTGAATTCAGAATGACCAAGTCATAGCAAACTTAATGGTAAACAAGAAGAATTTGAAATAAAAAACTGCAACAGATGCAGCACAGTCAAGTTCTAATAACTGGTGGGCGCCGCCTGACATGGCAGAACCTGCTACTCAACCATGTGGGTAATTCATTCGGTTCAGTATGGAGTTTACATTGAAGACAGAGTCCCACGGCGTCTAAGTAGTCCCACAATAAATCAATCACTCCCCCTGTCGATGTTTAAGGAAAAACTACCTTGTACGCACAACCAGACATCAGATGCACATTTTAAAGGATCAAGGACAGCGCAATCCTCACCAAAGAACCACCATCATCCCCGTCACCCCTCCCCCATCCTGTTCGGGTTGGAGGTGTATGGAAGTCACAATCTGTCGTGCCATTCCCTTGAGTCAAATCCGTTTCATTGTATCGAATACGCACCAGTGTAATGTGGCAATAAGAGAGCCCACGATTTTGAGTCTCAATCATGTTGCAGAGAGTGCACACGATGTGAGAGGTGCAGAATGTGGAATGGTACTCAGGTTCGAGATATATAAAGGCCCCATTACTTTGGAAACCCAGGTGCTGTCATATCCATCCCCGGCCATCGACTTCCGGTTCCTCCGTTCCCTCCGGTCTAACTCCGCTCCTCCCTCACTAACCTCGGAGCTCCCGTATTCCGCAATCCTCTCGGTACCCCTTGATGGTCACCACCCCCTCATTTCAATTTATTACCTACGCCTCCCTAAGTACGGAGCCCCGAAGACTTCTGGACAGCTCCAACGTCCGCTAGCGCACTCCCACCTCCGCTGGACAATACACTCACCTGCCCTGCAGAGCCCACCTTCGGGCCTATCCCTCCTTTCCATTTCTGGGTTATCGCCTGCCTTTCCACTAACCCTGCGACCCGACTCATCGGTAATATTCAGTCGGCTAATGTTTAAACCCCGTTAGCTCCGCTCCGTTCGGCTCTGCCAATTGCGGACCCATCTTCGCTGTAACCATATATATATCCCACTTGTACATAGGTTACACCCCAGTAATAAAATCAACTAGAGTTACCCCCCCTTCGGTTCTGATTGCCAGTCAGTAAGTTAGGGCACGGATGTGTCACTAGGCACAGCGCTCTTGGCAGAAGTCGCTGAGGCCAAAGCCCTCCGTCATGGAGACTCTCCCTCGTCTCGAATCTGGTCTCTGACAGGTGCGAGATATATTAAGTGCCCAATCGATTAAAAACCCAGGTTTGCGATATATCAATCCTCCCTTACTTTGAAATCGTAGCGGACATTTGTAGAGAGCATATCAGAGAGATTGAATTTTCCCATTACAGGTTAATACGCAAGACAAACAATCCAGTAACTTTCTTTGGGGCAACCCAAATGCCTCATTCGAAAAAGGAAACAAAAGTTGAGAACACTGGCGAACAGCCACATTGCTGCAGTATACAATGGCTCAGTCAAAATGCAAACCCAAACACCGTTCCGTAGATCTGAGATGAGATCCTTTTGATATGGGGCTTTTGGTAACTTCACCAAACCTAAACTGCCATCCCAATTTCAGCCATAGTGAAAAAGAGAGTCCGAAGAACGGTACTGACACCTAAGCCCAATCGTTTGCCATCTTCCCTTTTCCTTTCTCCTCCCCTGTGTCCATTCCCTCCATACCGGACTCTTTCTGTGAGAAGAAAGGACCCTTCTTGATGTTCGGACTTTGGAGAAAATCCTCAGCAACGCGTTTGGCCCCGGCTTTAACAGGCGAGTTGTCCACAGAGCAAAGCAGGTTGGTTTGACCGACAATCTGAATGGCCGTCCAGTGGCACTGGAAAGAGCGGATCTCCCCTCGACCGGTATTACGAGCGCGTGAGCTAAATCAACAACAATGAGTACTGGGCTAAGCCAACAGACACTCCAATGTGTTCCACTGTGCTCACAAATGCAACGTAGCGGTGCCAATGACTGCCAATCCTTCTTGAAAAGTGAGTTCCAGCATATTGCGAGGAATCTCAGCTCCGTCCTGATCGAATGCCCCCACCTCAATGAGAAATTCCACCTCCCTCTGACTGGCAGTGGAAGGGATCGCCCTGCGGAAGTGGCCATCAGGGTCCCACTCAGGCTTTGAGAAAATCGATGGTGACTCAACCATGTCCAACGTAGAAGACCTGGCAGTCGAGGGACCATCTGCGAATCCGCTTCATTCACACAAACCGAGTGGAAGTAGTGACACGTACCGTTGAATGCATCGACGACGCTAATCTTTTTGTTCTCCTTGGCAACAGGAGCTCTGTTTTCTTTGAACATAGTGTGTTGCAGATGAAAGTAAGGCACATCCTCGTTGTCCAAGTAGTTCCAACCATATTCGTCATCATGAATTTCGACCACAGACTCTGTGAAGAACTCATTAATAGAAACTACTCCAACTGGGTCATAGTATGCACCTTGGACGTGATGTCCCAGCCCTGACACGTTCTTAATACGGTTCAATGCAATGAGTTGATCGGCATATTTCGATTTGATGCTGGCAGGGGCACTACGGGGCATCCCCACATGGAGTTGGAACTTGGTGCTCATTACCTTCATTCGCTACATGAGACTCTGAATTAGCCGAAGGAGGGATGATTGATCACGAAGGACCACTTACACCTTGCTCTCTCCAAGAGTTGAAGGGAGCGGAATGCTGATTGCCATAAGGTGACAACTCCGCTTTCGTAATAATCCCGATAAAAGCCACTTCAAACACTTGCGTACGGTCGTTTGCTGCAGTCCAAGTGCCCCAAATCGATTGACCGTTTGCAGAAGCCAAAGAACGGTATGAAAGGTCTGAAGGGTCCAACATACCCAACCAATTTTCTTTCTGACAGTGTTCCAAGAGACGATTCTCAATAGCGGGAAGCATTCCAGATGACTCTGGGAGGAAGATAATCAAAGGGGATGGGGAAAGAGAATCAGCCACTGTGGTGCGATCTTATCAGAACAAATCCGCGGTCGCCCATGACCAGAATGATATACTGAGACTCATGCGCCATGGAGGTTACTGATGCGGAACGGGAAGAAATTAAAGATATGAAATCAGTAACCAGGAACAGTTAAGGTCAGTCAGATAACTCACCAAGCAGTGCATGAAATTGAAAGGCACCAGAGCATGTGAGCCGGGTCAAACACCAACCTGTTAACATCAACAGGGAGAGCACGTGTGTAAAGGGGCACGCTCACATGGACCTAATGGAAGCCACTGGATTGGACCGAAAACGTTACCCTCAGGTTGCGACCAATCAGAAGGCCACAAGTGAGGGTGGAGAGTGTTATGCATGTCAGTGCCTTTTCTGTCTGGATTCATTTGCATCGATCTCATTCTCCATTCTCGGGTGTAAACGTGGATTTGGCATGCCTACGTGGTTGCAGAGGTTGTGAGATCCAGGCCGATTCAGATAGCCAATGCATACCTTGTCCTTGTGTGGCATTGGTCAGGGAGGCCTTTCGGATCAAGGCCTCCTGATGCCGAAATTGTTGCACAGGGGTTCGCAGGATTGTTTCACATTCCAACAGTTCTAGACGATGTAGCTCCACTCTGAGATCTCCGTTCATATGAGAAATGATCCGCCTCTGATTGAAAGGGTGCAAAATGAATAACCGGTTGAATGCAGTGGCCCGAGACAACATAACATAAGCCAATTGACAGGAACGAGCACTTTCCAGGTCTACAATGACATTTGGAACTGATCGACCTTGAGCTTTATAGTCAGTCAGTGCAAATGCAGGAAGCAAAGGCAGCTGACAACATTTCACAGTCAAGCAGCGGTTGGTGAACGGATGGGTCACTTTTATGTTTATAGTCTTTGGTAGCACCATGCAATCATGTGGAGGGAGGAGTGTGAATGGGTCGGGGGATGAGTCAGGAATGGACACCACAGCGCTAGTCGCAAAACGATATCCATCTGGATCCTGGATGTAATGCATGTGTTTCACTATTCCTTGACTTCCATTGACAATTCCTCCTTTCACATCCAAATTTTCACCGATGATGACCGGCATTTGCGGTAGCAGAGGCAAACGACCGAGAGTGTATCCAGTCTGGGATTCAGAGGTTAGGTCCCACAGTGAGTTTCTCAAGTTTACGTCCTCTATCTGTTGATTTTTATGATGGTCCTTTGCATGATAAAAATGCAGGGGTACACCCTGTCAAGCAGCGAAAGAACGTACAGCGGCCTCATTCAATGCATCCTTAACGCGGTTAGAGGCTGTAATAATCGGTGCATATTGCCACTGTGGAGAGGAGAAATCATGGGTTGAGTTATTCTGTAAAAGTCGTGTATCTAACAATCTCTTATCCGCTGCTGTACAAATCCTGTACCTCAATCGATTCAACAACTCTCGGAACCTATGATTTTCCAGCCCATCCTGTCTCATATTTTCTTTTAAAAACACCACCATTTGAACGAGCATCCATAACAAACAACCTTTCAGTTTTTTTTGACGTTGATCCGATAACGAATCGGCCAGAGAGACAGTCATCATTTTGGAAGTGGTGTACAGACAGGTATTTCCAATAGGAGGTAATTGGCAAAAGTCCCCTGCAAATATGATGCTGATGCCACCAAGGAGAGAATTCTCCTTAGCGAGAGACAATGCAAGACTGATATCTGCCAACAACTCACAACCTATCATTGAAACTTCATCAATGAACAAGTAGTGGACGCCATTCCACATTTGAACTAACTCCGTGCGACTTTGACCAGTTGTTGATTTTAGCATTGCCAACAGTTGAGACAGATTGAGAGCGGAATGCAATGTACACCCATTGATGTTTCTCGCAGCTGCACCTGTAAAAGCACACAGTCGGAGTTTCCGAGACTGACCTATGCGATCAAAAAATGAAGACCATGCTTTGATCACTTGTGATTTGCCTGTTCCCCCTGCTCCTCCCAGATACATGTATAGTGGTTCACGCGCGCCATCAGTGCCACAGCAATGTTCAGCGAGTAAATGAAAAGCGTGAGATTGTTCCAAGTTCAGGGAGAAATAGTTATTCACCCACTGCATTACTTCAATGGGGCTGACATCATGTGTGGCATGTGTGTTGGAGTAGGTGTAAGCTTGTGGATCTGCAGTGGAGTTTGAGCCAGACTCAGAGTTCTCAGTCCAAATAGTGGCATCAGATGAGTGGACAGAGACCAAATTTGAGAGAGTGTTCAAGGAGGAAGAAGCAGAACTCAAGGCAAGTTTCGCTGCCGCTTTTCGTGATTTGTAATCATCAGCCCATTGGAGTTCCAGAGCCCCACTGTCCTGAATTAGTTGAGCAAATCCAGTGGGAGACATTAACAGGCCAATCACTGAATCGGGATCCAGCCTCTCACTTTCCAATTCCACAAACAGGCCTGAGGCAGTCGCATGATGCAGCGCATTGGCGATCTGTAGACTTTCGGCATGATGATTATTTGACTTCAAGTGTTCACATTCAGCTAAGTGGAGTAGCAACTGTTCATCATCACCCTCCTGCGTGTGTGCCACCAAATCTGAATCACCCACTTCAGCTGACATGTCCTTGGTTGAAGGAGGTGGAGGACGATGTGCTCTTCATTTGGCATAATCGATGTCCTACTATCCTTACACTCATGTAATACTTGGATGTTGTTAATCACTTCCTGTTGATGAACAGAAGTGGATTTGAGCCAGTGGTGAAAAGCATCAGACCATGATGAAGCTAGACCTTGAAGATCTGAACCAGAGCGCCACGGTTTGAATAGTGTGAGCATCACTCGACAGTAATACTCATAGGAGGCAGGATTGTCACGACGTGGCAATGCTGGACCAATCGGTACAGGAATCCCAGCCTGTCGACGTTTTCTCAATATGTGCGTGTGATGCTGTGGATGAGTGGAAGCCAATGAGCACCAAGGTAAGCGAAGGCTAGATTGTACATTCTCTCCGCATTCTTCCTCTATGTCCTCTGTTTCTAACATTGGTGAACGTTTGCTGACTTTGTCAACGCATGCCACAGACTCCCATACAGACATTCCTTCAAAAATGGGGGAGTGATCTTGAGCTAAGTAATCCATGAGTTGAGAGCCTGAACAATGAAAAGCCCCTGTATACTGATTGGCCTCAATCATGGTCTGGTCATCATTCCAGCATTGAGTAGTTTCATCAGTGTGTGTGGGCAGAGGAATGACTGGAGAGAATGACATAGGAGGTGCTGAGGCGTCAATTGAATCAATGTATGACACAAAGGACAACCAAAAGAGAGAGCGAAAGCGATGGCTTGTGAAACAATCTTCAAACCCTAAGAGATAAGAAGCCACTTGGGGAGCACTTAGCTCCTGTTTTGCAATTAAAGCATTGGCACATTTCACCAAAGTGCTCTTGCCTCGATCCTTGGCAGATGCAGCAAAGTCAGAACTGTCTTGCATCTTTTTCACAGCAGCTTGCACAGCAGCATATGCCACTTCTGTTTTGAGAGGGGTCTTGGTGATGTAGTACAAAATTCCTTTGGCAGACATCCCAGATCCAATGAACTTGATATCCATGTTGCAACGCACTGCTTGTAGAATGGTGTCGCAATAGTTATTGATCATGCCATTAGAAATATGCAGCTTGAGTTCTCCAGTGTCCATGTCTACAGAGGATGTGGTATTGACAACATCAGGGGAAAGACCAAATCGACAGACACCATCCCCTCGTTTGTAACAAGTACCAGTGTGACGATGTGATTGACATTTCTGGACCAACTGATGTAAATCATTCTGGATTTCAGCAGGTGTGTGAGAAACTGGATCACACTGTATGCTACAAGGATGCATGTTGCCAGGGATGCAATCAGAAGTAGGGGTCTGGATGGGGATGTCATTGCGAATGGTGTCATCCAAGAAATCTAAGAGTTGTTGGCGCCAAAGACTGTGAATATTGTTCAATACTCATTCCTTGATTTGTTGTGGATTCAGAGCCCCTTCAATCCATACCAGCATGTGACAATGGAGAGTGCCTCGTCCTTGAGCTTCCACAGTTCCATAATAAGCTTTACATGGACCTAGGATGCCGTCAGCACAGATCCCATCCATATTAGTGTGACCTAACAATGAGACAATGAATGCTTGTATGAACAGTCTAAAGAAGCGAGTGGCAATGAATGGATTACGAGCAACAGTGGAAGCTTGTTCCCAGTAAGGAGGGACATCAGAAGGCAACATGTTGTCTAAATCAAAATCATGTCCAGACAGGAACTTCACTATTGGATTATACACATCAGCAGGGTTAATGGTGACAAAGAATGATGGGGGACCACGTTCAAAGATGAGCTCTGATCTCGTTACGCATCTGTGTCCGGGTAGCTTGAGAGCCTGGCACTTTAGCAGAAATGAGGGAGACATCACGCATGAGTTTTAATACTGCACGTTCATCATCAGTAGTGGGGGGAGTGTGATCACCATGGGCGACTCGATGGATGACAGCATCAAATGTCTGGGATGAGACTTTGCTGAGCGTATGGATCACTTGGTCAAAATTGGAATGTGTGGTTTTCAGTTTGGTTTGAAAGGAGGCGATTTGCGTTGGATGATGTTAAAGACAACAAACAAGAAGGAGTAGTGCTCCTGAAACCGTTGGTCACCAAGAGAGAACAAATGTTCAGCCATTTTCTCCAAACTCAGGGTTGTGCGACGATTGTGATGGTAGCCACCAACACCGAAAGGAAAGAGAGTAGGATACAGGAGAGGGAGCAAATTGGGATCAGAGTAGTGATTGACTGGATCAGGTGAATGTTTCACCTGAATGTGGGCACCCAGTTCTCCATTGGCACGTTTAAGATGCCTGATGGCAGCAGCAGTCATTTCAGCTGTATTAGCATCTCTCATGTCTATGTCACTGACCACAACATTTTGGAAGATGGGGTCTGTGTTTGGAAGCATTTGTGAGATGGAAGGGGGGTATTTGTCATATCGAGAACCGAAGCAGCACTGGCAATTGTGGGAGACTGTGTGTGAATTGTGATGGGTGGGACATCAAATAAAGGCAGTTGATTGAGATGCTGTTCATGCAGAGTGACATCTGCATACAAAGGGTTATGGCATATTAACCATTCAAGAGCAAGTCGCACTTTCTCTCGTCTGACTATTAAGGGATGTGCATTGTTTAGTAACCATTCTTTGGATGGTGTAGTGTGACCAACAAATACCACACAAACAGGGGTAATGACATCTTCCAGAGCAGGAGGCAAAAACGTTGCCAATGCTTCTGGTTTGGCAGGGAAGACAATCACATGACCTTTCAAAGCCGCTGAGCTGTGGGATTGGAAGCAGTGGAGGGAGGTCCAATAGAATGACCTGTGGAGGAGACTTCATCATGCAAATGGACAATCCAACTTTTGGCCCATCTTCGTGCGATTAGGGCCTCTTCAATGATTGTCAAGTCGGCCAGCTGTGAGGGAATGGGTCCGAAATATAAATCATTAGCTATGGCTGTTTTTGGGAGACGACCTCGCTTTAAACAGTGGTGACATTTGCAGCAAATTCGAATCATGACATTGGAGGTGGACATATCCACAACCCCTTCAGGACATAACATAACATCTTGTAACAAAGCGTGATTGGGGAAAGGATGAGGGGCAGCTGGTGGATAATGGCCTTTAAGTAAAGAGATATCATAAGAGAAGAGTGAAATGGGATCACAAAGGACATCAGAGGGAGAAAAAGCCCCACCACAGATAGCACATACAGTCATTCTAAGAGAAGAAGAGGATAATCTGTGGAAGAAATTACTTATCATTTGTTGTTTGTCTGCAAGTGGAATTTGAGCTGGCCAACGAGCGGCACACCAGGCATGCCATTGCTGATAAGGATCATCAGATGACAGAGAGGTTGAAGGGGAACAGTGTGGATACATGGATTGCAGAAGTAAGATGGAGCGATGGAGACCGTTCAGATTCGCATTCGGCGTGGCCGGAATATGGAAATGAGACAAGACGTGATGAAGGAACTTGGCAGTTACATCAGTGTGAGCGATGTCACTCAGAAAGAGAGAAACTCCCCGCCCAGATTCAAGGGCTGACAAAAGACACA